TACCTCTTGTTAGGTATATGTATGGTGGACATACTTCCAATCTACTCTTGAAAGACATTTCCTGTATGCAATTTGTCATTCTTCAGTGTCATTACTGTATTAGTTCTTAGGTCTCTAGGACTAATTCACAGTTGGAAGACATGAATAAGTAACATCTTACAGATATTTAGAACTTGCTGAATAATGCATACAAGGAGGTCACTATTGTAATTGTCCCTCAAAGAAAGGAAATTTGATTTGAAAACTCAATACTTTTCTATTTGTCATAGTGATATGATGGCTTGTCATTAAATTACTCTGCTTTCCGAAGTATACATTATATGCTATCCAGCATGGGCACATTTTCTACCATTTTTGGGGGGAAGAAAAAACACTGTCCAAGATAATTTAAATTATTTATTTAACTTGAGATTCTGATAAAATAGACAATATCTTTACCATTGCTAGACAGTGATGTATACTTTTTTTTTTAAATTTGTCGGTCATGGGGCTTGAACTCTGGGCTTGGGTGCTGTCCCTGCACTCTTCAGCTCAAAGCGAGCATTTTACAGCTTGAGCCACAGTGCCACTTCCAGTTTTCTAGTGGCTAATTGGAGATAAGAGTCTCATGGACTTTTCTGCACGGGCTGGCTTTGAACTATGATCCTCAGATCTCAGCCTCCTGAGTAGCTAGGATTACAGGCGTGAGCAACTGGCACCCGGATGATGTAGACTTTTTAATGTATACATGGAAATTTAAACTATCAAACACAAAAAAATAAAATTAAAAAATGACTGAGCTAATATACCTTTTTATGATAATACTTGACTTTTAAACTGGTTTCCTTGGAATAGAGACAATAGCATTCATTAGTTGTAACTTGAAAACATATTTCCCTACACTTGGAGAATAAAAGAATATAATTACTAGGCTTAAGCTGACTGAATATGTAATGATAACCTGAAACAAAACTGGGTATCAGATCAGTGATCTCTAAGGCTACTCTGCTGTCAGTAGTTACTATGTAATAAGAAATCAACCCTGGTGTTACTGAAGTACCATAAGGAATTTCTAAGTCTCACATTGTTTAAAAAATCTTCTATATAGTGGTGATAATTACAATGTATATAGTACTGGTAAATATGTGTATAATTAAAGACATATTAAAATTTATCTCCATGTGCTCATCAGTAATTACTGAACCTGCTTTACTAAATATGCCTTTATTTGTATGAAAACTGGTCTGCTCGTAATAAATATAACAGACAAAAGTTATCATTCGCATACATTAGAGAATGATAGACTTTTGTAAGTCTACTCTTTAAGCCAATGCTATACAATGAAAATGTGTCACATTTTTATCCTTCCTTTTGAAAATTGTGATCCCCTCTGGTTCAAAAAATCAAGTCATTTAAGTTCTTAAATCATTGCAAACCAGGCTGGCTATTCAGGTTTCAAAACCTATACTATCAATCCAATATAATTTAATTTAGGAGCTCATTGAACAGATGACATCAGGATAAGTATCAGTCTATATTGAACCTGTTGTAGCTGTATCTGCCCCAATGGCATAAATGTTTCAGGAATTTAATGGGATCCAACAGTTGAGGTCATAAGGTGAATCAGAATGACTAATATTCTTAGCTCTTCTGAGTAATGATGGTTATGCCACAATGTCTTTCATTATTACTTTTATTGTGATACAGTGAGTCCCTTGATTATTGCTTTCATAATTAATAAGTCATTTAACCTCTCTGTGGCCCAGTTCCCATATCTGTTAAAGGAGAATAACGGTAATTACTTCCCACCTTTCTTAAGGGTTGCAATGAAAAATAAGGATTGGGTAGTTAGAACATACTATGAGTTCTCCTAAAATAGGAACACATCGTGAGTGTGTGTGTGGGGGTTGGGGGGGAGAGCGAGAGAGAAAGAGAGAGAGACAGAGAGCAGCCAACTTTTCTCTTTCTAGACACTAGAAGGTAAAACTTTTTCCAGATAGTATAATGCAGAGCTGGCATTCTTTACTTCACTGAACTTTCAAATACATTGACTTTCAACCAATGGTTACAGGCAATGCTATACAAGATCACGAATTTTGAAGAAAATGTTTTACCTATCTGTTGAACAACAGAATCATGTTAGAAAATAAATATCCACTTATAGCACTTCTGTCTATGTCTCTACAGCTTTTAGATGATTCACTTTGAGGCCGGATACCATCAGCTACGGGGAGAGGATGGGAAGGGGAAACAAAGGAGGAGGCTACAATGCTTGATAAGAAATTTACTCATTATCTTGCCCATGTAATTGTAACCCCTCTGTACAGTATTTTCACAATAAAAAAGAAATTAAAAATAAATAAATAAATAAAATAAAAAAAACCAAAACTACACTATTTTTTGAAACCATTCTCTTGAACTGAGAATTCTAAAACAATCACATAACAATGAAATAAGTGAAAATGAAAATGTATAGGAAATTCTTTTAGAAGACAAAGCTTTAATAAGGGTGCTTCTGAAAGTACTTACATATTTTCTTGTTAATGTAAAAATAAATAGTATCAAACATAAATAGATAATGTATGATACTCCATAGCTTATTTTATTACCTAAGTGAGTATGTATTTATTTGAATTCCTGGTTGTTAGATTTTTTTAATTGTATATCAAGGCTAATATGTCTATATGATTTAATAAGCCAAAACATGAAGCTACAATTAGAATCTCTTAAGGCAAACAAAAACACCAAAAGAAAACCCATCAATTAAGCTTTGACTTTTTTCTAATTTCAACAGTAAGCATTCAGCATGTATGAAATGACAATATAAGGTAATTGTCAGCTCAGTGATTATGGTTATTATTGTAACTGTAATTCCAGAAAGCTTCTATTCTAAAGGAAATCTGTGCCATTGGAAACAAAGTTGCTTCCGATCAATTTTCTCCATGTCTTGGAAGCACCCTGTTGCTAGACAGAAAACAAGATATGAAAGGAGATGGTAAGAAGAAAATCAGTAGTAAGGAAAAGTTAAGGTAGACAAAAATGACACTTCATATAGCAACTGAGAACAAAGAACAAAAGAGTGAGAAGACATACAAAGGAGAAAAATAAGCTTAGAAAAGAAAAACATGATACAAAGAGCTGAGAAGAGAAATTGGTTCTGGAATTGGTTTCAGTAAAATAGGCTTAACTCAAATTTCTACTAATTCTTGGAAAGAAAACTGAAATTAAAACCCTGAAATATTTGTGGGATATAATAATGTGTCAACGTGTGCAGAGTAGAATAATGTACCAAACACAATCATTTGATTATATTTCTGATTATACTACAAATCCAACTTCAAAAGTCCCTGGATACTGTAATAATTTAAATATAATCACATAGTCACTTCTTGCAAAGTTCTTGAGCTGGACAATGCACATTTAGCAATTCCAATGTCTGAATACTTAAAAAAAATGCCAACCCAAGTTTTATACGATTGGCTGTTTCTAATAATTCTAAAACACTTAATTAGGAAAAACCATTGGCCTATTGTACTTAATATTCAAAGAGCACCCTATTGAACAAAATATTTTGCTTATCTTTGGTAATTCAATAAATTTAACTAAGCAATAATGATTTTTGAGTTAAATATGAAATATACATTGAATTTTTAGCCATATGAGAAATTCACTTTGGAAATTATTAATTTTTAAATGGTATAGATTGATTAAATGAAATTATCATTTGTGAAAAGTTGAACAAAAGCTAATTTCATTTTATCAGATGTTTTTCAAAAAAAAAGCATTTTTTGGCAAAGTTGATGTTTTAAATCACAATGAAGAGAACAATTCTACAGTTTCAGTATTATACCTGCATTTTCCGCTGTCTCCTAGGAAGAGATAATTAGTATTTGGTATAGAATTCCCAAGTAATACAGTTTCTGAAACTCTGTAGTTACTTGATGAATGTTTGATGAAAGGATTGTGTAGCCTGACCCAATCACCCACTTTTTAAACAATATCTACCATTTCTATGGTGATGTGACCTTCCAATTGCATTTGTATGAGGAAGCAAGGGAAATATCCATCCTTAAAAGTTTTGCCAAACTTACCTACAAAACTTTAAAAGTAATTTGTAAAACATGCTAGGAACTATAAAATGATGCTAACTTTTTAAAGTGAAATGTCATTCTCTGCTCTTCTTTGGCCTAGTGAGATCAGAAGGAAAAAAGGCAAGACAAATAACGAACAAAGGAGCAGGATACTCTGAATGCCACCACACTTTCCAAGTAACTGTTGTGTTATAGGGTTGTGTCTCTAGAACTCACTGTGAATTCCACATGGCAGCTCATTTCCAGATTCATTGCCTTGCAGGATATTAAATAGGTAAGTGTACAGATAATAAGAATTGATCCTTCCTGTACTTGGTATATACTTTGCCATTTCAACACAAATATATACACACACAGGAAATAACTCTGCATGTAAGTGGTCTGTTCTGGAAAAAAAAAACACTGTTTATAAAACCTGAAGCTATTACTATTCTTTTTTTTTTTTTTTTGCCAGTCCTGGGGCTTGGACTCTGGGCCTGGGAGCTGTCAATGAGATTTTTTTTTGCTCAAGGCTAGCACTTTATCACATGCGCCACAACATGCCCAGATTTTTTCTGAGTAGATTATTGGAGATAAGAGTCTTGCAGACGTTTTTTGCCGCGGCTGACTCTGAACTACAATCCTCAGATCTTAGCCTCTTATTTCCTTATTTACACCAAGAAGAAAAAAATTGTTACCTTTGGGTAGACTTTCTTTAAATAGAAGGATATCCTTATAAAGCATACACTTCACAGCATTTTAAGGATTAAAATGATTTGTTCCTATGGTCATATACTGATGTGTATAGTTCTGTACCCTTTCAGTTAAAGGCAATTAACCATTTGGCTCACATCATAGTATTGTTACTCCCCTTAGATTTATAAATTGACAGAGGGTTACTTGTGCTTTAACATGTTAGTATGTAACCTTTAGCAAGAAAATAGGACTTACCTTGAAAAAAGTCATGGTTGCACCATCCTCTACTGCTCCGTACTCTATCTTGGTTTGTTTAGCTAAATCGTCAGCAGAGTCAATAGGAGATTCCATGCGTTCCACTGTCAGAAAGGCGGCTAGGTTAGCAGTATACGAAGAAATGATGATAAGTGTGAAAAACCACCAAATGCCTCCCACTATCCTGGTGGACAGCGCTTTGGGCATGAGCTCAGAACCTAACAGAGATTGGGGGAAAGGTAAAACGAATACAAAGAGTTGGATCAGCAATCAGATACTTTCGTTCAGCGTGGCAGGATGGGATCACTGTGTAATAAAAGGTTAAGCCATAGATGGATGTCTTGCTTTCATAATAAGCAAGCAACAACCATTGGAAGAGCAGATGCTAACTTCAGATAACAAACTTTTCCAGTGCTTGGATTTAAGTATAGTAACAGAGGAGATTCTACTTCTTCCTAAGATGGTGCAATGTACCAGGGAGAATATCACTGCATAACATTGATAATGCTCTAAAAATTTTCTCCAGTCTAAACTTACATTTTTATTCTTCTTATTTGGGGATATTCAGAAGAAATCTTTAACGTTTGCTTAAATCCAAAATATTAGTAAGTTTTATGCAAGGTTTCAACTTGCAGGTGTATATATACCCAAACATTTTGTCTCATTTTTAAAAAGAAATATTGCAAATGATAAAATAATTTTGATTACCCAGAGTCCTTCAGATGGGGTTTTAGCCCAGTGCTTATTTTCAAATATGGCAGTACATAAATTCCTAAGCATAAGCAAACATCTCCCATCACTTTGACTGGCTTCATTGAGGAAATTTAGGGTAAGAATAAGTGATTAAATTGTCACAAATTTGTTTTTATACATATATAAATATTCCATATCATAATACATGGCTGGAGTTGCCTGCCCATAGTATTAATCAAAGAATAGGATCTGAGAATTATTTTAATTGATTATTAAAATTTAAAAAGCATTTAGATTACAAAAATTACCCTAGAATTTTTTAATTGGCTTTATAATTTAAATTTATTTACCGTATTTAGTTTGTTTACCACATTACTTGCAAACTTATTGTTGAAATGATAGAATGTTGAGTTTTTAATTAAGAACATACACTAAATTTGTGGATATATAAATATGTGACCATTATCTTCTAGTCACTTTGAATCTATAATCCAAAAAACATGTATAAAAAGTAGTTAATTTTTAACTGAGTTTCAGTAAAATGGAATGAAGCAAAGATGGACTCCTTTTCTGCTGACCTGTTAGAGTCAGATCTTCAACATAATCATTGATGCAAGCACTAAAATAACAAATTTCTTGCAGAATTGAAAAGTAAAACAAACTACACATGTTAACACTGCAATGTGTGATATTATGACAGTATTTTGTCAAAACAGCCCATCTTACACCACAATTCATCTTACCCTTGCAGTTTCAAAGAAACAAAACAAAAAAATCAAAGGTAGAAAGAACTGGATATGACAGCCAACTCCAGCTCCAGACTCTGCCTACCCCTCTGCAAAGAAAACAAAAAACAAAAATAACAAAAGCAAAACAAACCCAGAAAAGTACCTTTCTGATGTAGTTGCTCCTAGGCCCTTTCAGACATACAAGGGGACACTGAAACACTAAAGCACTCCCAAGAGGACCAGCAGCTGTGGCTATTTTTCTTTTTCTTTTTTTTTTTTTAATTCTTTACAAACCAATAAAGTCAAACGAGACTGGGAAAGAAAACAATAGTGGAGACATTTGACAAAAATGGCCCAATTACCACAAGTTTGTATCTTACCCAAGGACAGAAATTCAGTGAGTACCTCCTAGGCTTGTGAATCAGAGCCTGGTTAGGGGCTGACTGTCATGTACTCAAGGTAACGTCACGTCTGACACTATATCCCACTAATTCCTGGGAACTGGGCATCAGCCAGGATGGTATGGGGTCCTCTTTCATGTATCCACCAGCCATAGTTGTGTGGCAAAGTAAATGTATATTTGAATGTTTCATTCTTTGTTTATCATCTTCAGAAATCTCAGTGTAGTCTCATGTTTAACTATTAGTGCTGACAGCAAGTTCACCTTGTGAACATACAAATGCTCAAAGATTTCCAACAATTTCAGGGAATTTAAAATTTTTAAAGTGTTAGGTTATTATTCAAAGAGATATCAAAAAAATTAAATAAATTACTATAGGGTTTTATTACAAGAAAAACCCACTCTGCGATATTAAGTTTAATAAGTGACAGGTCACTAGCAGTTTATCTGATGAATTATATTTTACTCAATGATACCTATAAAAGAATTTCCCCCATAAAATTAGGCTTCCATTCACTACTAATATTTTGAAAGAACTCCGAGTCTTCCAAGTGTAGAATAAGCCTATGGAAGAAAAACATCCTTACCTTGTTCCCAAAATATAGGAAAGGGAAAATACAGCTGTTTACTCCTTATTTTGGAGTTAATTAAAAAAGATGCCACATATTTAGATTAGCTT